ACTCGGTCAGGTATCCGTATATAAGGATATTATCTATAATATTTGGTCAAAAGACGTGTCCAGCAACAGGAAACGTTAATAAAACTAATGTTTTCTAAAAATTCTGAACACGTAATTGGATATGCTCTTCCTTTCTTGGGAAGCCACGCTTTGATAGTTGTATGATGAAGTCACAAACTGTATTCTTCAGCTCAGTTAGCACTGGATCTAGTCTAGACTTAAACTTTGTGTCAGGATTTTTAATTTTAAATTGGAGGCTACTTCTGGGCACACCAAACTGTTTTGCCGCCTCTCGAATTGAATCCTCTTTATTCTCAATAAATTTTAGAGCCTTATCTATTGTTTCTTTGCCGTATTGTCGTTTTTAGACATTTTACTAACACTTCAATGAACTGTTAAAAAAATAAGAAAATAGATTAGTAACTGGCCACGAACTGGCCACCTATGCCAGTTACTGATCAGAGTTGACTAATTCTGCTAAAAAGAAAATACACAATACTACACCTTATAAACATCATAACAAAGAGTTATTTTTAAAGAAATTTGAATAATAGGTAAAAATTTAGTAACTGGCATAGGTGGCTAATAACTAAAAACATGCAAAAAAATACTTCAGAAACTAGCCACCCTTCCGTTAACTGCTTATTTAAGATTTTCTTAGAATTAAAATAAAGATTCATATAACTCACCAAGCAAAGATGTAGAAATATGCGATTCTTTCACCACCGCCAAATATTATCACTAATAATTTAAAAATTTGTATATACTTAGCCACTAACATTTACGTAGTGAAGTAACTTACATGTCGGGACACGTACACCGACTTTCAGTAAATGGTCGTTTGCTTTGGCGCTAGTATTCGTAGCGAAAAAAGTTGAACTACTATGAAAGGTGAATGACAAGGCATTTGTTTGATACGTTCATAAATGGCGCTAATAAAACATTATTCTAATTTCAAATAGATAAAGTACCAAGTGGCTAGTTATTGGTAGTGGCCAGTTATACCTTGGTTTACCCTATATGTTTGTCTCTTTTTAGTGTTGCTTTTTCGTTTCATTAACTTTCAAATCACGATTCTAAAGAATTTTTCACTTCAAAAACAACTTTTTTAATATTTACGCGAACACTACACATTTAAATAAAACTAGTTTTATTTTGAGAAACATTTCTTTTTACTTTTTGTTAACTAGGTTTTGCAACATTAACATTATTTTTTTTTGTAAAAGTGTATAAATTAGAAAGGAACTTAGAAAGGAATTATTGTCACTTTGTAGTCCAGTTTCAACCCTCTCCTTTTATAATAAACACTGAAAAATAGGTATTTCAATTTTCGATGTTCACATATTAATTTTACATGTTACATTACCACACACTAGGATTTCCTCCTGTACCGTGAAAGTAGTTTACAACCATAAATTGCACGAGGACAAACATCCAGTCTCGGAACAATTAATTATTGTAGGTCATACAAATTATTGTCCGTGCGGGAACCGAACCCGCGGCAATAAGCGCCGCAAGTCAATGCTAAGCTAAATAAATAATATAAAATCTATATAGGTGTCTGTACATTTTATATTTTTGTCCCAGAAATGATTGAGAGGGACTAAAAATAAGTAATATAATACAAAATAGATTTTGTGTGATTTTGCACCTGTGTGCGCGAGTGTACCCTCTCAGTGTGACAATAAGCGTAATAACACGGCACTGCTTTCGCCCGGCGTGTCGCAATCCGCCGGACTAGTATGGACATCTATACTCTTATATTTGGACCCGCTTTAAGCAAGCCGATGCGAAATTATCCACTCCACCTCTATAGTTAATCTGTTTAAATTGGGAGCTTTGTGTTAAATGGGGACACGCGGCTTTATCCAATCCGTGGCTTGGGAGTTTAAAAAAAATAGAATTAGGGTGACAAACGAGCACACAAACCTGACCACGTGATGGTAACTCGATTAAGAATCAAAATGCAGATGCGTTGTCACCCCTGAGAACTAAGATGGAATGCCTCGTTTCTAGTGAAAAGGGTCACCGGTTCTCTACACTCATCATACCAAATACACGGCATCATTAAGCTGTTTTTTACGATGGTATTCTGCGAAATCCAGCTTACGTGTGGTCGAGCCAACCTATTCGTGCTATACATAATAACCATAATATAACTGCAGCGTGGTTCCGATTCGAGATTCGATTTGAGAAATTTAGGAATTCAAATTAAATGGTAAACTTAGGATAATAATAACTTGACAGACCTTAGTGACAGTATTCCAATAAATATATCTTTTTTTTTATAATATTGGAGTGAGAAACGAGCTAACTGTAATAAAATAAACGCTAGCTGGTTCAGTACTGATTTTATTATTATTATGAAGGTACAGTATCGGCACCAATGAAATTGTTAATTGCAATTTTAAGTGCTGATGTACCACGTGCTCGGTGGTGAAGGAAAACATCGTGAGAAAACGTGAAGTTCGCCAACACGCATTGGGTCAGCGCGGCGGACACTTCCTTGCCTTAAACCTTCTCAGAAAAGAGGGGAGGCCTGTACCCAGTAGTGGGACATATTTAGGCTGTAACTTTACTTACTTTACTTTTACAGTATCGACGCCCAATTTCAATCTACCCACAATATACTACACTAACAATCCATCTGATGGTAAGTGGCTACTACAGCTTACAGACAGACATCTACAACTAACTTCTACCTAACAAAGAACGCTACAGATGAATTATCATCTCATAGAACGAAAATGAAGAGCCTCACAGTGATTATCCTGTACACCTTTGCATTCCAAGCACGACGAAATATTACGAAAAAAGTTTTACAAACAAATACTTAGCATTTTTCATACAATGACACCCACGACTTTTTTGCCACCAGGGCGGCGTTTATTTGGACTGAGGTGGAATATTTGTGGATATTCCACCTCATAGCATCCTTGCATAGCGGGGAAGTTAGGTAATTTGTTAGGAACATGTAAAGGTTAATGTTTCTTTCTGTAATATTAGTAATATTACATACTAATTAGATTATAAATTAATAAACCAAACTACGGATATGCCTAAAAGTATTAAAATTAAAAAAAAGAATCAAAAACGTACGAAACGGTTAAGAGCCTACCACTGAGACATTGTTTTGTGTATTAATATAATATTCTAGAAACATAAATTTTTATTTAAAACTAAATTCTCAGTTAATTGACATTGTGTAACAAAAATTCCTACATATCAGTCCCAACTAGCGACATCTGGTGAGCGGAAGATTAATACTCTAATATACTAGATGTTAGAACTTCTTTTCTACTTTTTTCCGACTTCAAAAAGGAGACGGTACTCAATTCGACGCGTATGTTTTTTTGAAAGTATTTTGCCTCATAACTTTTTTCTGGGTGAACCGATTTCGATGATTCTTTTTTTATTTGAAAGTCAGTGCTTCACATGTGGTGGGACCTCATGAGAAGCACCGGCTTTCAAATAAAAAAGAAACTATAACTTTTATCAACTTTATAACCTTGATCAAGGTCTGACCAATAGTTTTTGAGTTATTCTTAATAATTTATATTGAAGTCGGTTGTACAAATTTTTTGATTTTAAATTATATATCTAGGAGTCCGTCGGAGTAGGTACCACCATCTTATGTATTTCTGTCGCTTTCTCTACTGTGTTTTAGTATCGGTGTAGAGAGTCAGTGTGATTACAGGCTCTGAGGCATTCGTAGCTTCCTTATCTGAAGTTTGTTGTAAGTATACATGGACTGCAGTAGCCACTTACCATCAGGGCAGTAAGATTGACTGTCACTTCAATTTTAAGTAAAGAAAAATCGATTTCAATCGTTTTTAGTACGAGTTACATGAACGCAGAGTTTATTAAAAGATCGTGTACTAAATTATTACGCGTTCGCCATAGTATTTGTTATTAATTTCCCCTAAACAATACGTGGCCTTTTTGGTTAAACACTCTGTATTAGGTATCACTTCAAGTTCTGATTGTATTCCGCAAATTTATACCAACAAGGATAATTTCAAACAAACTCGACTGCTCGAGCGATGTATGAATAATGCGTGCAAGTTATGAAATCTCGTTTCCAGGAACCAAAATCTAAAATAAGACTCATTGTTCACTGTTTTTGGAGCCGCCTACAAAGCACTCGCTAAAAGCATTACGGTGTCTGTGTCAAATTTACAACAACGCTGCGTGATGATCATAGTGATGATTATATCATATAATAAAATATCACTCTGTGTCGGTTAGATCGCTGCTACATTATCATATGTATATCATCATATAATACCGTTACAATCCATAAAAAGTACATTGCTGAACACAGGCCTCCCGCATAATATATTGTCTCATAGGGGAGATAATTGTCATAGTTGCCGCGTTTGGCGTAACCCCAGTTTTTTTTTTAATTTTTAGTTGTTATTAGCTATCCACCTCGGCTTCGCACGGGAGATTTCTGGATCACAATTGCGCCACCTACCGGGTTGAATTGTGAATCTAAACCATCTAGGGACTGATTCAAATACACACAAAAAATTTCATCAAAATCGATCCAGCCGTTCTCCAATGACGACCTTTCATACATGCGGCAATTGGTTTTTATTTGTATAGATAGAATATCTTCAAGAACACTTATTGAAAGTCCTTTAAGCTTTACCACTGGTGGCACTAAAGAACCAGCAAGAAACCCCGCGGGACTTTTAATTTACAATATAATATGTCGCATCTCCAATTTCCGCGGTGTTGCAGGTGTTCACGGGCGACGGTAGTCACTTACCATGAGGTGAGCCGTATGCTCTTTTGTCGCCTCTTATATATATATATATATATATATATATATATATATATATATATATATATATATATATATATATATATATATATATATATATATATAAATTAAACAATTAATTATGAAAACATTTAGAAACGGCACGGTAGTGATCATCACCTCTTTACTATGATGTTCATGTTGTCTGATTTGGCGCTTTTCTCGTTTCCAGTACGGCAGCGATGAGTTCGGGCACGACTCGCCCAGCCGGTACGCGTCGCCGAAGGGCGCAGGCGCCGGGGCGGCGTACCAGGAGCCGTACTATGCGGGCGGCGAGTGGGGCGCCGGCTACTACCAGCCCCCACCCCCGTACCAGCAAGACCCCTATGCCACCTCGCCAGGTACGTGATTTTTATACAAGGAAGTTTTTTTTTATACAATAAGAGTGACAAACAAGCATACAGTCCACCTGATGATAAGTGGATGCTGTAGCACATAGACATCTACATTTAACCTGGATTAAGATTCCAGTCGCAGATGCGTTGCCACTGAGGACTAAGATGGAACTAACACTCACCATACGAAACACAGCAGCATTAATCTGCTGTGTTTAATTGTCCTTTGTGTGCTTTAATTTCGTCCTTCATGAAGATACTACTCCGGAGGCGTGGAGCAGAAGTGCGGTGGTCTTGTTCTTCAAGATAGGCGACAACGCTCTCTTGAAGAACTACAGACCGATTTCCGTTCTGAGCCGCGTCTACGTGCTGTTTTCGAGAGTCATTACGAATCGTTTCGCATGCAGACTCGACGACTTCCAGCCTCCCGAACAAACCGGTTTCCGAAAAGACTTTAGCACCATAGACCACATACATGCACTTCGGCAAATTTTACAGAAGACCGAAGAGTATAATCTGCCACTTTATCTTGCGTGTGTGGACTATGAGAAAGCCTTTGATTCCGTCGAATAATGGGCGGTGCTGCAGTCCCTCCAGCGGTGCCAAGTGGACTGTCGGTATAACGAAGTGCTGAAGTGTTTGTACAGTAGGGCTACGATGGCTATCCGAGTACAGAACTAGAGCACGAAACCTATCCAACTGCAGAGAGGTGTAAGGCGACAGAGTGACGTAATATCCCCGAAACTCTTCACCGCTGCATTGGAAGACGTTTTTAAGCTACTGGACTGGAAAGTATTCGGTTATTAATGTCAATGGCGAATACATCACTCACCTTCGATTTGTTGACGATATAGTCCTTATGGCAGAATCGCTGGAGGACCTAAGCACTATGCTCAATGACCTCAATAGTGTCTCCCAACGGATAGGTCGTAAGATAAACATTGACAAAACAAAAATCATATTTAACGTCCAAGTCACACCTATGTAGGGTTACCATATCTCAGGATTTGTCCTGAGATTTCAGGATTTTTAGACTGTTCTCAGGATTGCGGCTAGATTTTGCAAATCTCATGAAATCTCAGGATTTTTAGAACTTTCAATATAATACAGCTTACATTTTAAAACATCTCTTAATAAAAAGTAAAACAAACTAAAAATAATTTTCTTTTGGTAATAATTCCACAATTAAAATCAAAACTTATTTATCCAAGTAGGTACTTAAACAGTTTTATCATACTTAATATGTGAAGATACCTTTTTAAGTAAGGTTTTCTTCTCAAACTGTAAAACAATCTCAGGATTTTTAAATGGAAATCAGGCCTCTTCTCCGGACTTTTAATTTTTTCATCTGGTAACCCTACACCTATGCCGGTAGTTGTTGGGAGGACTTAGCTCGAAGTTGTTGATGAGTATGTTTACCTGGGACAAATAATCCGACTAGGTAAGTCCAACTTCGACCGAGAGGTCAATCGACGGATTCATACGGGGCAGCGTTTGGGAAATTACTGCACATCTTCTCGTCAGGTATACCTCAAAAGTTGAAAACGAGACTGTACAACCAGTGCGTGTTGCCAGTGATGACCTATAGAACTTAGACGTGGTCCTTCACTGCTGGCCATATGAGGAAGCTCAAAATCGTTCAGCGAGCTATGAAGAGGGCTATGCTCGGCGTTTCTCTACGTGATAGACTTAAAAACGAGGATATCCGCAGTAGAACTAGAGTAACCGACATAGCCCAAAGAATTAATATGCTGAAGTGCTAATGGGCCGGCCATATAGCTCGAAGAACCGACAACCGTTGGAGAAGAAAGGTTCTCGAGTGGCAGCCTCGTACCGGCAGGCGAAGTGTAGGGCGTCCCCCCGCTAGATGGAGTGGCGACCTGGTAAGACATGCAGGAAGTCAATGGATGCAGGTAGTTCGGGACCGTGTTTTGTGGCATTACTTGGGGGAGGCCTATGTTCAGCAGTGGATTTGTGAAGGGCTGTAATGATGATGATGATGATTCTGTAAGAGCGTGGTCCTTCCCCTTTCGAGTCGACCCATTCCTGTTACAACCATGATATAGCTGCAGTGTGGCTCTACCACGTAAAAGGGTGACAAGCGAGCACAAATCTTGCCTATTGGTAGGTAGATTAATAATCAAAATACAAAGCGTTGTTGTCTAAGATAACTAGGATGGAGACGGGAGGACTAAGATGTTTTGTTGCCATTAAAATGGGATTTTCAATTATGTTTACTCATTATGCGAAACTGCATTGTGCTGATATTTTTGGGACAGTTATTTTGTATGAGCGTGGTCCTTCCCCTTTCCATCTGACCCATTCTCACTATAGCTCTAATTCAGCTTCAGCGAGGATCTTCCACGTATCTACCAAAATTTCCAACATAAGAGCTGCGGTTCTGATGTAAATGTTAACTGTTAAAGACTTGCAGGATAAAACTACGCTACAGTATAAAGCCACAACAGTAAAAATCTCAAGGCTTCCGATGGATGGCACAATCATGTCGTTTACACTAGGCAGAAAATACTCACACCCGCGTCGGGCAGCAGCGTCGAAGGTTCGAGAGGTCTGGTACTACCATTGTCAATCCAATTAATACAAATCTCCCTAGAACGGGAGAAACCTAGGTTCAACATTGCGGTTTACAGACTAATAAAGAAGACCATGATAATGATAACTGCAGAAATCCAGATGTCTATGGGCCACGGCATCCACTTACCATCGTGTTGACTGTGTTCTCGTTTGTCACCCTTATGGCCAAATACTCAAATTCCACTCAATTTTAAGATTTTAAGTATCTTGGTGTCACAGGCATTTTGACTTAAAGTGATAGAGTAAAGTTAATAAAAGTTAAAATTGAGTAGTGATTGAGTATTTGGATATTATTCTATTCATAAAAAAAAAAAATGCAGGCATAGCGGGCACAGGCGGTGGCGAGGCGGGCGGTGCGGGGCCGGCGGGGGGCGCGGAGCTCCCCCTGCCGCCCATGTCCTCGTTCCGAGCCGCCGCGCCGGTGCACTCGCCCACAGACACCATGCTGCTGACCAAGCCGCCGTTACAACCGGTGAGTAGCAGCGTGCAGCGTGCAGCGAGTCACATTCAGCGGCGTTTCTCGACGTGAAAACTTCTTTAGAATTGTTATAATTTGGAACTCGATGAAACGAAAAGGCGACACTAAAAAGAGACAAACATATACATCTATAGAAATTAGCCTGCGAGAGAATGAGATAGAATACAGTATACAGTCTTTATTAAAATTTATTATTTATACTTTAATTACATAAGCTCTACAATTATCATACTCCCGATACCCTGCATTAATCTCATTCTCTTGAAGTTTAGTTTTCTGAAGGTTTCACTTCTACCGCGTGTGAACTGCACACATGTTTTTTTACTGTTAAAATCATACCGAAACATACGGGTCAGGAATGTGACCCATAACGAAAATATCTGTATCGTCTTGCCTTAATTAATTACAAACCTGTTAGTATTTGAGACCTAAGTGTAGTTTTTTTTACTATTCTTAGCCAGCACTTAGTTATTATCCCACCTGATGGTAAGTGGTGATGCAGCCGAAGATGTTGTAGCGCACTGAATTAACAAAGGCCTATTCAGTCTTGCCTTGAAGAAAACGACATTGTAATCGGATGGAAAGACAGATGTTGGCAACTTATTCCACTGCTATGCTGTACGCATGACGAACGATATATGAAACCGTTTGGTTCGAATGCGTGGTAAGTCGACACCGAAAGGGTCGATCATCAAACATCCTAATTTCAATAGATAATATTTATTTTAAATAAGATTAGAATGAATAAAGAATATATATAGAATATATAATAAAGATAAGAATTAATAAAATTAAATGCAATCCCAAGCATACTACTACAAGACTTCAAAATACTGTAAGCTCGTTCTACGTGAATCGGACCAATGATTAATATTTAAAAGTCTAAGGTAGCCTACGTCAACCATGACATCAGGACATCAAACACCTCAGACAATCTCGTGACCAGGGGTGATGTAAAGCGCCCGAAACGTCGAAAATTAAAATAAGTGAAAATTAAACGACAAAATCCGTAAAATTAGTTTCATTCAAAGCGCCAGTAAAGTTGACTCTCCATGAAAAGTCCATTGCTAAACATAAACCTCCCCACAGATTACCTTATAGAAGGGATATTTGTCATAGCTGTTAAGCTTAGCAGGCATGTTGGCAACCGCAGTTTTTACTTTGGACTTTTAATTCAGAGAAAAAATGACAAAGTCTGACATTATTATATATTATCTTTTTTATATTTTTCCCAATATTTAATATCGTTGGACGTTACGAGTACGGAAGTTTGTTATATTGAAGATGACATTATGAGTAGTTATCTCTGTTAATTACTTTCTCATATTTAATTTATTTTTATAAGTTAATAATGTATTCATTTGTTAAATTATCGTATTTAAATTGTCATAAAGCAGAAGGCCAATATTGTATTTGTAGGGGTTTTACAGAGTACAATATTTTGGGATTTGAATATATAGGTCAGGGCTATGTGTGCGGTAGGATATGTCTTTAGACTGGACACGTTCACATGGTAGAGCCACGCTGCAACTATATTATAGTTGGAGCATGGATGGGTCGGCTAGACCAGGGGAGGACCATACAGGAGACTCTCACAGAATACAGCGTAAGATAGCAGCTTATTGCTGCTATGTTTCGTATGGCGACTGTAGAGAACCGGAGACCCTTTTTACTGGAAACGAGGCATTCCATCATAGTCCTTAGGGGTGACAACACATTTTTTTGAGAGGGGGCAAACGAGCATGCGGCTCACCTGATGGTAATTGACTACCGTTGCGCATGAACAACTGTAACACCAGGGGAACCAGGAGAATTGCAGATGCGTTGCCGGCCTTTTAAAAAGGAGTAGGCTCTTTTCTTGAAGGTCCCTAAGTCGTATCGGTCCGGAAAAATCGCTGATGGTAATCGATTCGTATCATTTATTTATTTCATTTTTGCGGTCAAGTGGAAGGAGCTGGCACTGGGGAGCCTCTGCACAGAGATGGGAAAAGTATTCCATGTGAGGCCGAACCTGCGCCTTGTAAAGTTGCAGGCGGTGTGCCGGCATGAAATACTGTCTCTCTTTGCTGAGCACGCCAAGCTTTTTAGAGGCCACTTTGGCCTTTTCTTCTTCTTAAGTGACCACGAAACTGCACGTCACTCAATATGTCGATTCCGAGGATTCCGATACTGGCTGAGGCAAGAAGGGGAGTGCCTTGAAACTGAGGAGATACGACAAAGGGGTTCTTTTTAGCAGTAAACGCGCAAACTTGTGTCTTCTGAGGATTAAACTGGACTAGATTTAGTCGCCCCCAATCCGAGACTTTGTTCAGTAAAGACTCGACTTCAGACACAAGTTTGTTCCGGTACTCGGCGACGTTTTCGCAATGTCCAAACCAACGGCCAACGCCATCCCCTTGAACTCTACTGCCTCCGCCCATCAATGAGTCAAGTAGACCAGAAGATCACCAGCTGATCGACGCTGACGAAAACCGTATTGGCGGTCACTAGTCAGCTGGTGATCCTCAAGGTACCGCATGAGCTGGCAGTTAATAATGGATTCCATTATTTTGGAGAACAAGGAGGTGATGGCGATAGGCCTGTAGTTGGGTGGACAAAAGCTGTATTGCATGATTTCGGGACTACGCCTAGGATGTAGTAGTACCGGCAAAGACGCGTTAGAACCGGTGCCAACTCCGGAGCACACGTCTTCAGCACAATTGGGGGATTCCGTCAGGCCCACTTGACTTGTGGATGTCCAGGGAGAGGAGTGCTTTGCGAACCGAGCGCTGTGAGAACCGCGCATCCGGCATGGAGCACTCACTCCGCGGGATTAGTGACAGAGTCAGCAACAGCGCTGGTATCATCCGGCGAGAAGCAAACCCACCCCCATGGGTAGGATGCAAAGAAAGACCGCATTCCGTCCCAATTCGCCGACCTGTAATGCCAAACACGGCGGCAACCTGCAGAACGCAACCGCGAGGGGAGCGTGAGTGGCACCACACTCCGGATCAGACAATGGTCCGAAGAGCCGAGAGGGGGCATCGACGCAAACCTAATATCCGTCCGGATGAGAGATCAACAGAAGGTCCAACAGGGAAGGTGTATGATCCCCCACATCTGGAATCCGCGTAGGCGAAGTAACCAGTTGTGTCAGACCATATGCCAAGGCAAAGTCATAAACAGATCTCCCTGCATGATCGGTTAAACGTGAACCGAGCCATTCGGCGTGGTGTGCGTTTAAATCGCCAAGGATCACGATCTCTGAGGATGGGACCTGTTGTAGCAAGGGATCTGTAGCCATTTGGACGTGATCGATGAGTCGGTCTGTTTCGGCATTACCGCTATGGGACCTATAGAGGCACCCGTAGACGCGCGGATGGTCGTCGCTGTCTACGCGTAGCCAAAGGATGAACAGTTTCGAACCTTCAAGACTGTCGAGGCGTCGACAGATGTCCTCTCTGACTTATACGCAAACTCCAGCCCGAGGCACAAAGGAGTGCGCCAATTTGTACTCCGGGTAGGAGAGATACGAAGCAGAATTCTGCCTCCCCCCCCCCCCAGAATACGTGTGGCAGCCTGAGCACCCACACTCAGGAGCGGAATAACATGATCGTGGATGCTCAGCGAGGGATTCTCCAGGGGTGCTGGTACCCTCCTGGGGTAGTCTTTGATGTAATTCCTCTACCATGGTGATGGAGGCCCCCCCCCTGATTGAGCCTCCGGCCACCTGAACTCACCAGACAAAACGCAGAAGCAGAGTTTCTACTCCACGCCTGTATTCTGTGAGGTCGTAGTACCACCCGGCTTGAGACGGCCCATACGCGCTATATCAAAAACTGCCGCGTGGCTTTACCACCGTTAAATTCATCACATCTGTATTTCGATTCTTAATCGAATATAAATGTAGATATCTATGGGCCACACCATCCACTTACCATCAGGTGGACTGTGTGCTTGTTTGTCACTCCCAGTCTATAAAAAAATACGTTTGGTCCTAGAGGATCTAAAGAGGTCGATTATACGTACGCAAAAAATCTGAATGAATATTTCGACAAATCGAAAATAATTGAAGAGACTCCATTTTTGCGTTTCAAGCTTAATTACATAGTTTACTTATGTTTATGTATAATGTCCTCTAGGCCGAATTTCGTCCATGGCGGCCAGTCTTAACGGAGCCTAGACATCCGTACGAGAGAGGATTACAGTGCACAAGGGTATGCGCAAGCACGGGAGCACTATTCCCTCACTTTTATAGACCGATTGGACGGTAATTCGACACAACCCAGGAGAGATCAGGCGCAGGACCTACTCTACTCTACTACTCGAAACACTTTACATGATTTCCGAGGTACGGGGTGAAACACCGCAAACTTCCTTACCCCGAGTCGTTTCTGAGAATTTCTTAACAGAAAAATCCAATAACGAATTTTGGAACCCAAGACCTCTTGATCAGCAACTGAACTTACATTCATTATACCAACGATAGTTGTATAATGGATAAAAACTGTAAACTGTAGATATTATGAAGTTTTCTTTAACTCGAGATTGTCTCTGAACACCGACGTATTTTTTCATCAGACAAGTAATAAAATGTCTCATGAATCCGGTTTGAATCGCTGTGTGTGCAGATGTACGGCGGTGCGGCCACGAGCGGGGCGGGAGCGGGTGCGGGAGCTGGCGCGGAGGCGGGCAGCCTGTCGTCGTACGGCTCGTCGCCCTCCACGCCGGTGCACTCGCCGCCGCCGCTGCACGCCCGCCTCTACCCGCTCAAACACTCGCCCCACCACCCCCACCACATGCATCACCATAATGGACAGGTAACACACACACACACACACATGCTGCAGCTATATTAATAGTATAGTTGTACCACGAATAGGTCGACTCGACTGGGGAAGGATCAGAATACCAGCGTAAAATAGCAACTTAATGCTGCTGTGTTTCGTATGGTGAGTGTAGAGAACCAGAGACCCCTTTTACTGGAAAAGAGACATTCCACTGCTATTCCTGCTATTCCAATCCATACCCTGCTGCAAAGATATAAAAACTCTTCTGCTAAACATACACTTTCCCTATGGAAGTTAGTTTCAATCTATAGAGATTGAATCATAGGAGAAATACATGCATGGTTGCCACGCTTGGCTGGCAGGTGCACTTGAAATTAGCGTCATGCGAATTGAACTGTCACAGTCTATTAAAGATCACTGCTGAATATACCTCTCCCATAGATTGCCTTATAGGGGGGATATATGCCATAGTTACCACTGTTGGCAACCGCAGGTTTTGAATTTTAGTCGTTATTAAGAACTAGCTGATGCTCGCGGTTTCGTCGCGTTTCTTGATATATTAACAAAGTTTTCGTATGTGCGAAGGAAAAAACATCAAAAAGACAAAAATTTCTTTGTAAATAATATTATTCGTTGTGCTCCGTTTGTAGCTAAAATATTTAAATTAGGGGGTTAGTAATGCGAGAGCAAGCGACGTACAGTATACCGTGTGGAAAACCCCGTATAAAAATCGTTGTTTCTTAAAACTTTAATAACTTTATATTAAATTAAGATATTGCAATACTTTTTTTTACATAGGGACCATTGTCTAGGAAATAAAACTTAGAGAACCTAAATGAAATCTATCCAGTAGTTTTTCCATGATGCACGCACGCCCCCAAACCTCCATCATTTTGTCTATATAGATATGCTCTCGCCTATCTCTTTATTTGATGCCCTGTGTCGCCTCTCACGTTACCCACGGGATGATATGGAGTAGTGTATATTCTTACACCGCCACTACACGGTAGCTCATCCTTGGGTGCTTTTATCCAACTATATTGGTAAAAAATCAGTGCTTTAGATGTTATTAGTTTGCTGCGATCTAACACTCACATCTATAACTGGCATTAGCAGCAAGCCGCGGGGTGGGCGGGTGTGTCCTCGCCGCCTGGTGCAGGCGTGGGCTCCGTGAGCTCGGTGAGCGCCGTGGGCAGCGTGGCCAGTGTAGGGCCCGTGGGACCCGTGGGTGCCGTTGGGACAGTGGCCAACGTACTACCCAATGGGCACCAGCATCACGTTGCCGTCTTCCCGCACAATGTAATGGTACGTATACCATACTTCACTGCCTCTGCCTGTACGTATACCTTTAATATTTGCCGGAACATTGGTTAGAACTATATTTAAACTGAATTAAGAAAGCTGTGTCAAATCTAGAATCTAGAATATTATCAGCTTATTCGAATTTAATTCATGCTAGTACAAGATTAATAAAAACTGATACTCATGTTTAATACGTTGCTTTTTTGTTATGAATTTTATATTTCAAAACAAGATTTTTTCCGTATTGACGTTTCGATTCATTTGGCATGATTTCATGCATGGATGTACTAACTAAATTACGTAAAATTTGTAATATTTTAATACAAGAAATTCCGCATTTCAAAAGTCAGTTTTTAAACACAAAGTGTAATTATTACTGTGATTTATGATCGTTAAACATACGAAGTTTGTGTGTCCCAAATCAAATATTTTGTAATGTGGAGTTACTTTATTTTTTTGTAAATACATTCGTTTGAATTTATCCCAATAAAATTTATCATCACAGCGATTTGTGTGTTTTATGTAAAAAAATATTTAGTAGTCTAAAATACATCTTGATAGAAACAGAAGATATTGCGAGAAAAGTAAGTTATTGCTCATGTTAGAATGAGAGTGAATACACGAGTCGTGTGGTTGATATTTTTGCAGCTTCATTTTTATTTTTATATTTTTCGAAAATAAGGAGCCATTTTGTTTGCAATACACGAGCGCATTTAATCTTATGTTATCTGAAATTTATTTTTCCATGCTTTATTTTTGTAAAAAAATTTACTTTTTTTACTTTTGTGTTTTGTTGTTGTTTGTCGTGTTTTTGTTTTAATGTCAGCGACTTGCGTAGAACCCTAATTTAATCCGTAGAAAACTCTAGATATTTTTAGTCGAATTAGAATTATATTAGATTTATATTCGTATTTATATTAGATTAGATATCATTGTAGATTATTTAGAAATAGTTAAAATAGTAGAAAAAATTTTACTTAAAAAAAACAAACACAATCGATTAAAAATGTTCTAATCTGTGACCAAAATTCACTAAACTTCTATTTAGAAGTGGAATTTCTTTAAGTTAATCCCCAACTAATTTGCTTTTCATTTAACTCCAACTCGTTGTAAAAATAACTGTTTCAATAAACATGTTAATTGCTACAAGAAACAATACTTGTTTTAGTGGAAAACCGAAGGCTGTTTTAAAATTTTAAAACCAAACATCAAGTTACAAAACTGAACTTCCACAATTAAATTCCAAATTTGGCCAAAATAAAACAATTTACTATAGTAGAATAGTTTGTACCAAACTTAAAGCGAAACATTTTCTCTCCCCCATTAGTCGCGATTGCGCTGTAGAATACTACATAGGTTTGCTTTTAAAATATCTTATACCAAGTTTTTGTCTTTGTGAAAAACTGCAACGACATTTTTTAAACCAAACGTCAAGTTTCAAAAATGAGCTTCCACAATTAAAATCCAAATGAAGTCAAAATTCGACAGTTTGTTTTTAAAATAGTTTAAACCAAACTTAAGTGATACATTTTCCCCGCCGCCCCCCGCCCTTCAATATCAAAGCATTCGCTAGTCGCGATTGCGCTATAGAATCGCACGAGTACCTACCGGTACTACGGTTAGGGTTCAGGGTTAGGGTTCTGCAGTCGCTGACGATGCGTGTGGGCAGGGCGCGCCGGCCGAGCAGCGTCAGCTCGACGAGGCGATGGTGTTCCTGCGGGACCACTCCGACATCGTTGTGAGTATCCGCCGCCCGCCCTTTTGCGGATACGGATATTTCATACGCTCATTCCATTTTGAAACCATGCGTTATATTTTAATTAAGTCGTTGTTTCCCTCTATGTTTTGAAGATTTGAAATTCGATAAAACGAAAAAGCGACACTAAAAAAGGCAAAGTTCAACCTGCGAGAGAATTACATAAAATACAGTATACAGTGTTTCCTATTATCTCCGTCTCCTGTCGGAAGGTTTCACTTCTACCACGTGCGATGTTTTTTTTTTTACTAAAGAACTTGATGGCTCCGTGCCGCAATTACTTGCGGTACTGAGGGTCGCGGTTTAGAATACCGTACAGAACAAGTATTTATATGACCTACAAACAATTGTTCCGGGTCTGGATATTTGTTCGTGTGAGATTTACGTATAATAAACTGCCTCCACGGTACAGGAAAAAAATCCTATGGGGGTAAAGTTTTTTTAAAAAATACTAAAAATTGCAAAAGACTACATTTATTATTGCCCTGTCACACATTCAAAGATTATGTGTTGCTCGTTCTTTATACATTAATAGTAGTTATACAGAACATAGAAGTCATTTTATTTTAATTTGCTAATTAATATATTGACTTTGAAAGAACGCTTATTATGTATTATATTTCTGTAGTCCTCAGGGACGATATCAAACATGTAGCTTTTAATGATTAGAGTTAGCTACGAAAATTACAGAGTAGAATGCAAAATCATTTTCCGCTCAAATATAATATTGCTAAAATATCAGTAACAGCGTTATTTGTTATTAAAATCGATGTAAATGATCCGTCTAAGTATGTATATTTTTCAAGATTTGGTCTGTATGAAACGTATGAAATATCCGTTATTGTTAACTCTTTAACTAAGAAAGTCGTTTGTTTACTGTTTCCTTTTAAATATTTCGACTTTTTATGTTCATTTATTATTATAAAGTTTGTTGTTTTTCTTTGTTGATTAACAGTAAACAAGTGAGGTAAGATTAGCTGCATGTAATATTTTAAAAAGATCGAAAGTTATTTCGTGTCTTCATTATTATTTTGGTTTATTATAGACAATCTGTAGATATTGTGGCATGCATTTTGAGCTTGATTACTTTTGTTTTATACTACTGATAATTCCTGAAGCATTTTTGGCACTAATTGAATAGTAAAAAAAAATCATCTGTATATTTCTTTCAAAATTTACATTACCATATTCCCGACATGTTCTATTGATATTCAGAATGAAATATTATTTTGTTATGTCATATATTATTTCTAGAACATTGGTGGTATACAAAAAGAATTAAACTGAACCCAGTATGTACCCTTGGGGTAACCTAGTTTATGAGCTCTCTAAAAAAATATTGCCAATAGTTTTGAATAATTTACTGTTGAATTAAAGTTATAAGGAAATTTTAAGATAAATTGAACCTAGATTAAGAAAAATATTTTTTATTATTAGGAGTTTATTTAAAGGGCATAATCGAAATACAGGGCGCGAGAATGGAAGAGAGGCTGGATGACGCCATTAACGTGCTTCGTAACCATGCCGAGGCGCCCGAGTTATATCCCCACGATGTTCACCATCAACCGCCCACAGGTAATAAATACTAATCGTTTATAAAAATGTAACATTTTGTTACAGGTTACATTAAAATCAGGATTTCAATTTACTCTTTACCGAGCTACGGATTTTTGGTGAAATGACTATAATTTAAAAAAAAAATTTTTTTTCAGCCACTTATATATTTTAATACCGCTAATATTTTGTTTAAATATTTATAGCATACCGTTACCGTTACAGTCTATTAAAATCCACTATTGAACATAGGCGTCTTCCATAGATTGCCCCAAATACCCCCTGTATTTGCCATAGTTGCCTTGCAGCGTTGGTTAGCGACCACAGTTTTATTTTAATTTTTAGTCGTTGACGCCCACGGGATGATATGGGGTAGTGGATATTCTTACTTATCCACTACTGATGTAAATAACTTAGCTTTATTTTCGAAAGAGTAAAGGAGACTCACTGCCCATCTCTAGTGCATATCATCAAACTTCACATGCCTTTGTTATAATATTACGTTTGTGAAAACCGGATGCATGTGCAACATATCAGTATCATATCACAGTTGTAATGTATCAAATATATTTAAAAAAATTGTAAGAAATGCAACACGACGAAATACGCAGCGTAATGTTAATGTTACGCTAATAGTTCACCTGATAGTAATGGCTACTGCAGTCCATGAACATCTGCGACCGAGTTCAAACAAAGAAGGTTACAGATACGCTGTCACCTTTTGAGGTGTTTGATGGAGTTCTCGACAGTTTGTTTAAACTGGCTCTGTATAACCTTCAGACTGTTAGACAGAGATGGACGCTCTCCTGCTTGGCGGCAAAAATGTGTAAGAGGGTGGTACTAGACATGGGCAATATGTATAATGTAAATATGTATAAAAAAGAAAAAATTAAAATGTATCTTTCGATCACTGGGTATCATTATTTTATATCTTTATATCCTTATGTATCAGTAGCTCAAGCTTGCACGCACGACACGCAGCGCGCATATAGCTCAGCGTAGTTCGCTTCGCTCAACTCAATCCAATGCACTTTGCTTGGTCGTAACATTAAGTATCTTTGTGATTTATTGGGCTGCTCTTTTTTTCTAGGTATCTATTTTTTATGATTGATATATATTATAGGTACTTATTCGAAAAATGAACTTGAATTTTTTGTTTAAAATAATAAATAATTAAATTAATGATTAACGAAAATAACATAGGTAGGGTAGGTATTGCTTTTATTTGTAGAAAATATATATTATATAGTCTACAGATTTCCCTTTATACTTTTCCGAATTAACGAAAACAATTAATAAAAAGCAGCGTGCACTATGCATCTTGCGACACAGAATGTCAGATAAAAAAAAAAAGGTAAAAGACGCCGTGAGTGAGTGTAAAGATACACGGATACATTCGGATGGGAATGGATATAAAGAGTGATTGATGGAAACGGATTGATTCATATCTTTTCTACCGACTTTAAAAAGAAGACGGTACTCAATTCGACTGTATTTTTTTGTTTGTTACCTCATAACTTTTTACTGGGTGAACCGATTTCGATGATTCTTTTTTTATTTGGAAGCTGGTGCTTCACACGTGGTCCCATATTAATTTGATTAAGGTCTGACCAATGGCTTTTGAGTTATTCTTAATAATTTATATCGAAGTCGGTGGTACAAAATTTTAAATTATGTATCTATCTCTCCTGAGTTACCCCTCTCTGGGTGGTACCTACCCAGACGGTCTGGTCCTGCAGTCGCCAATCAGCATGCCAAATCTTTTTACTATGATTTATTTTCGTGTGGCTTTTTTTAAAATCTTAGTCCTCAGGGGTAACAACGCATTTACATTATTATTCTTAATCGAGAATAGAGTGTAGATTTCTGTGGTAGGACTCCATTTCTGGGTCCTCCAGAAAAGCAGTCATGCCACCCAGTAGTTCATTGCAAAATGCTTCATTCGAAATATCATTGAATTGATGTTTAGTAACGTTAAGCAATATTATAAGTCCAGAAGTTATCTGCTCCTCTCACCAAACCGCTTCCGCCATCCAGCCCTCTTAGGTAATAGATTTTTTTTTCCAAATATTGTATGCCAAACTGGTGCATGAAGGCCTCCAGCAATAGGTTAAAATAGGTTGTTTAATAAGAAAGTGACTAAATCCACTGGTTATTTGTTGCAGCAGGTCGATTAGGCCCATTGGGACACGCGCCTCCTGAACCTCCCGTCAAGTTGGAACGTCACCTGCTTCCAAATACAAGTGAGTTACGTTGTTTTGCCTCACCTATTCACTCTTTACTCACATTTCATTGAGTCAATCCTAATTTTAAAAAAGCAATCAAATATGGCATTATTTTGACACTAGATGATCATCATCAATTTGCTCAGTGTGACGAGTAAGACAAAACTTATTTTATCTATTACAAACAAAAGGGTGACAAAAAGGCACAACACAGTCCACCTGACGGTAAGTGGATGCTGTGGCCTACAGACATCTACACTTATCCTCGATTAAGGATCAAAATGCAGATGCGTTGTCACCCCTGAGGACTATGACTAAAGCGTATAGTAATGTCCGACGACCGTCAATATCGAACGGGACTCACAGATCACAGTGTACTCAAAACTCGAAATGATCCATTTGAATGATGGACCCATTTAACTCGATTCGTAAGACGAATCAATACTTGAATGATCCGTTCACTAGAAACGAATGAATGACACATGTCTAGCACTAGCACTAGCACTTTTGGAGGATGATGATGTAGAAAAAACAAACGACGTTCATAGGAAAGCCTCTGTCATTCTTCCCACTCGCTGGTACTTAAATATCGTGTTCTAGCTCAATGTATCGATTGTTCTAAGATTTTCCAAAGTCGGACATTTTCCAAAATCCTCTGCGACCTTAATACATTGCGCATTAAGTTACTGTCAATTTTCCGTAACTTTTTTAGTCGACTGCGAGTCGGCGAGAAGACTAGTTCCTTGTTTTGTAAACCGCTAACGTCATTTTGTAATTATAATATTAATGTGACTAATAAAACGCTGTCATAATTTATGTGCGTACTTTGCCAATGCTCGGGGAACGATCAATGTTAATGTTAGTTCAGAGCTAAATTATACATACCACAGTTCGACTGCCTCATTGGTCTAGTGTTCGTAAACGCGATCGTTGATCATGAGGTCCCGGGTTTGAATCCTGGTCGGGCCAAAAATCATTTATTGGGTTTTTCTGTTAAGACATTCTCAGTCAGTTCAGAGTTAAAAAGTTCGCGGTGTTTCACATCTGTGCCTCGTAAATCACCTAAAACCGTTGGTTCTGAGTTTGATCTCTCTCCGGTCGTATCGAATTACCGTCCCATCGAGCTATGAGAGTAAGAGAATAGAGAGTGCACCTGTAGTTGCGCATACACTTTCGCACTATAATCCTGTCCAGATAGCTAGTCCCCGTCGAGACAGGCCACCGTGACCGAAATTCGGTCTGGAGGACATTATACCGCAGTACTTCGGAACTTCGATAGCGCGATTTAGGTTTCGGTGCGTTTTGCTTGTAGCGCGACGATAGCGCCGCCACATACACACGTTACAGACACGATATGCTTGTGACAGACGAATTATGTTGTTACAGAGAAACGCAAGGAGCCGCCTGATGCCTTGGAAGCGAAGCCGTCGTCCTCGGCCGCGCCCGACCTGCCCGCCAAGCCGCCCGCCAACAAGCGCTCGCGCAGATAGTAAGTGCTTTGTACACCCACATATACTCACAGACCAAACAAACAACTGTAACACTAGAGGAATCGCAGGTGTTGCAGTTGTTTGTTTTGCGTTGCCAGCCTTTAAAAAAAAGAGTAGGCTCTTTTCTTGAAATTCCTTAAGTTGTATCAGTCCGGAAAAATCACTGGTGGCAGTCGATTCCACAAGGAAGTAGAGCGAGTAAGAAAACTTCTTGTAAATTGCACAGTGGTGGACCGCCAATCATCCAGATGGAGTGGATGGTATGATGCGCGTTGGTGAAATTGAGCGGCTGAAATTAGTTCGAACAATTCCTTAACACATTTCATTAATAGAATAATGGTGACAAACAAGCACACATTCCACCTGATGGTAAGTAGATGCTGAGACCCATCGACATCTATATTGATCTTCGATCAAGAATCAAAATGCAGATGCGTTGTCTAACCCTAAGGACTAACATGGAATGTCTCGTTTCCAGTATAAAGGCTCTATATTATAATATATAAGGGTCTAAAATATAGACAGTTATTTTGTTTTCAGCTCTTAGTTAATTACATCGTACTTTATCTGTCTTCACTAGTTCTGTTCCACGGAGCAAGGATGAACTAACCTTTGGCACGCATTTTAGAAAATTATTCCTATATATTTACTTTATATTATATATATATATATACTTTATATTATTACATAATTTAGCCTTTTTCAAACCCTCAAAGCCACGCTTTGGAAAGGTTCTCCATCTCTGCCATAGAATATGTCTTAAGTAATAGTTTAAAAGTAGACCACATAAACTCATTTAATGGAGAGGACTTTCATTTAGTTATTTATTCTCACTATTCTTCACCTGCCCCTAAATAGAAGTGGAATTTCTTAAAAATTAAGAACTACGAGCTACAAAAGCTAATAATAGTTCTATGACATAACATACAAAGAAAGTTCTGATTCTAATGGCAGAAATAAAACTAGAAAAACAATGTTTTCTTAGTTATATTGAACTCTTATTAATCTGTATATACATGCTGTTTTCTACAAAGAAATGTGAAACATGTTTCTGAGTTTTATTAATAATGTGTTTAAGAACTCAGAAACAAATCTTACACATTTAATTTTTTTTATCATATTGGTAATATTTTTATTATATTGGCAACATAAGTTAGAGTTGTTGTAATGTTTTTGTGTACGGTCATGAGTGTTGAAATTTCATAGTATGGCTTAATATAGTCAGCTGTGGGGTTAACATAGTACGATTTAAATGCATAACTGCGTAGTGGCAGTTTAAGAATATCCACTAACCCATATCGCCACGTGCCGTTTTAAGAGACGACAGCGGGAAACTGAAACAAGAGATGGGCAGCAGCATCTTCCTGATGATAAGTCAAAGTAATAATAAACTACTGTTTTTGTGGATGTAGGCTTGGGTAAAAATATCGAAATATTGAATGTGAATTCGTGAGCAAATTTATCGTCGATATTTTAATCGCAATATATCGATATTCGATATTTCTTTTAGAGTATCGAATTCGTATCAATTTTCTTATTTTTAAAAACAATATATTGATTTAATAACGTAATAGACAATGTAATTTATCAGACAAAACAGTTAAGCATCAAAAGCAACTACAAAAGCATTCATATGGTGTTGTATCGATGTATCGTTATTGATCACGTGATAATTATCGATTTTTTAATTTGCCCTTCCCTAAATAGATGGTTTAATTAGTCAAGGTCGTAAGTTAAATTTTTCTTCCAACGCTCATGACCGGTACGCTTTTGTTTTCATTATTGTGTTTCAAAAATATTCACTATTGTACCACTCGTTTTGATTGTTTTTTGTTCGTTTGAAACTTTTGTTTCTTATATTTTATTTTAATCTGTGATATTGAATATAAAATTAATCAGAGCGAGTGATATGATATGGACCCGTAGCGCCTCCTCCTCTCACGCGTAACCAACAATTCCAAAGTGTAAACATAAAACGGTTAATTTAAAGGTTAGATTAAAAGCCATAACATGAATTAATATTTAAGACGAATAATATTTAAGCAAAATATTCTAATCCATTAACAGAATACCAGCGTAAATAGCAGCTTAATGCTGCTGTGTTTCGTATGATGAGTGTAGAGAACCGGAGACCATGTTTACTGGAAATGAGGCATTCAGTCTTAGTCCTCAGGGGTGACAACGCATCTTCATTTTGATTTGTAATCGAGGATAGATATAGATGTCTATGGGCCGCAGCAACCACTTACGATCAGGTGGACTGTGTGCTCGTTTGTCACCCTTATTCTATAAAAAAATCAATTATAAAAGCAAAGTGATTGACGTTAGTCACGAGGTCTATTGGCTGTGATATAGGATTTTAGAAAAAATACCCGTACCCAACAGTGGGATTAAAAGAGCAACTGATAATGATTTATGACAAACGTTACTGTAGTAATTTGTGTATTTTTATGCTTGTAAAGAAATGCTAGCTTGTGAATGTGAATACCTATCTCGCATGTTAGAACTAAGTTATTTTGCAAGTCAAATACATTTAACGAGTGATCTCTAAAATTATTTTCCTAGATTAAACGGTGGAAGTACCGTCGTAACTGTGTATCTCACAAAACAATTGAATACTTGGTGAATAAAATAATGTGAATATCAAAAGTGCTTACAATTGGATCTATAAAACTACCTCGATTTAAACATTATTTGCTCTCGATCACGTGCGAATCGTTGGTTACGTTGCGGAATTGGGGTTTATGTGGGGAGGGGATGAGGCGAAAGGGCGTGATAACAAGTAGCGAAGTGGTTGTGTGGCGCGCAGCTGTTCGTCGGCCGACGAGGAGGACGTGGACCCCGACACCAAGGCCGCGCGCGAGAGAGAGCGCCGACAGGCTAACAACGTGCGAGAGAGGTGCGCCATACATAAACACATGCACACTCATACATTTACACGTACAGATCCCAGTCCCAATCATATCCCATCAATACCCTCTGTTATTTAAAAAGGACAACAAATCGCTTACCTGTGCTCTCGTTCCACCTGTAAACAGGGTTACCTGTTTTGGAAATGGGGGTAGATTTAAAAAATCAAGGAGGTTTGACAAATCTGAAAGTTTTCTCAAAATTGTGTATTATAAATTTTTTGTTTATTTCCTTTTTAGGTATTCTTGGGTTATACACAAAATCGTCTCTATCTCTATCTATCTTAAAACTAGTAGTTCAAATACACTTAAAGGATTCTTTTTTATTTTTAATGTCTTCTTGTATTTAACAACCGTGTTATTAGCGGAGAATCATTGGTTAAACGATGGAGCTATTTTTCTCCTTTAAAATTATTTCAGTCCTCTTTAATATCTAGGTTACTTCTAAAAATAAACCTAATTTCAGAGGATTTTCCGTAATTTTTCCAGACGGATTTGGTATTCGAAGTGTTTACACCACTCTCAATTTAAAGTCAAGAATTGTTCTTGGCTATAGTCCATTTCTATAACAATAACGACATCCAGATAAATTTGTTTCTTACCTACTACAAACAACAAACAGTTCTAATTTTTCCAGAGTTATACTTTGCTTACTGCCAAAATACATAATGATTATTATCATCTCTATATAATTATCATAAACATTTACTGAAAGTCGAAATCCCATCTCAACTGCAGGAAATCTCTCAAACAATCCCCTTAACCAGTATAGTTATTTTATTTCACGATGAACGTTGATTGTAGTAATGACGTGTACTGACAGGCACGTTTGTTTGTGTAACTGTTATTCGTTCGACTCGCGATCGTGACTGAGCGCTCCCGAGGCCTGCGCACACTAACACAATGTGTATGTGCACGACTAACAACAACCAAAGTCGAACTTTCATCGTTAAATAGGATAACTATAACACACCTAACCGGTCATCACAAGTTGTGTTCTGAAGTGATGTTCCATTTTTAATTTTAACTTTGTTTAATTGGGTATAGTTCTTGCAATTCATGAAGTCAAGCGGGCTTTACTTGCGGTAAACACGTATACGAGTCCACGTATACGTTTTTGATGAACTGCAAGACACTGAACGTGTCTTGCAGTCCGTCAAAAAGTATAAAATTTTTATTAATCAAAAATTGTTTAGCAAGGGTTATTATACTATTAAAGAATACACGATTGATAATAACCCTTAGCAATAAGATGATCGATCGGTTTCTAAATGTTTTCATACTATTTGTATAAAATGTTATATTGTAAATTATTTTAGAAGAAAGTCCTACTAAGTTCTGCTTTATCCCAGGACAAAGGTTTCTTCCGAACCAGTGGTAAAAGTAAATGTCGTTCAATAAGTATTATTGTTATTTAAATTGAATAAAATGATTCTATTCTATTTTGTCAAAGTGAGTGTGAGATCAAAAGCGGCTACGGTCAGCGACGGCACGCTCGCAACTGATAGCATTCAACCACGAGTTAAGCACGTCCGAATTCGTGAATTGTAAGAACTACTAACACACCTAAATCCTTAATGCAAAGATTATTTCGTTGTAATATATGTAACTGTATTTCATTTTATTCCGGTTACCGATGATCCTAAAACCTCACTCGTCCAGTGTATTATCTACTTCATCCTAAATATTATTTAGATATCATGATCACTGTGCACTAACAACCATGAATATTTAAGTTTCAGAGCTTCGATCATCACCACTAACTGCTAACAACAATTTGGGTCATAGTATATAACGTGTTCCTATTCGTGTATTCTTTAAAATTGTCTTTAGTCTTTGTTCGTTTTATATGTGTTTTGTGTGTACATTTTAGGTTAAAGGTAAGTTCTTCTCTAAGTTATTTTTGCTACAAAATCTAAATTTAATTGTCAACAATAAGAAATGGAAAATAATTACGCAACAAAGTTATCAATTCGACCCGGGCTATATATTCCATATTCAATTGGTAATTTTTTATTAGTCCTTAGAGGGCACTAAAATTAATCATTAATATCATATTAAATTTAATATTTATCTACTTTATACATATGTATGTATATAACGCACTTAATGCATATAAATACTTAAAATAATACTCTCGCGTTTCCTTATTAAAATAAATTTCTTTAAATCACTGTCTTGTTTTCTATCACAGTAATTTATTTTCGTTCACCTTCCAAGAGATCATCATTCACTGTACCATCACGCGAATTTGCAAAGTATCTTTAAATTAACACCTGTCGTTGCGGTCATTTGCTTTGATACTAACAATGAGGGGTTCAGATTAATTTTTTTCGCTTAATATATACCTAAACAGGAGGTCGGCTGTCTCTCTCTCGTGCGCTGCCTTCGTTGTCGAGGTAAGGTTTTTTTAATTTAGTCTCTCAAGCGTGGCGGTACTTTAATATTTCAAAAGAGGCCAGTTTTGATCCAGTTCTGCCATCTAGTTATATATTATATTATCAAATAAAATAATCTAAAGACCTTGTATTCATATAAAAATAAATGTTTTCCAAATTTTTGTTATTCGACTAGTTGTATCCAAAGCATTAATCTTATTTAGGAGACCGTAATTAAAAATTACCATCCCCTATTCCGTTTATTACAAAAATAATTACTAGGTATCTTTAAAAAACACGATTATTGAAGTTTTATGTTTTTCAAACCGAAAATAAAATAACGTACTTAAAAAGTCTTAAAACAGTCTAAATATAGCATTTGACAATAGTTGCTCGTCGGCGGATGAGGGGGACGATGAAATGGATCCACAGGCGAAAGCTCTAAGAGAGAAAGAAAGGCGGCAAGCTAACAACGCGCGAGAGAGGTGAGTGGGCGAACGCAGTTTGCAAAATTTGCCCGTTTTATGCATAATTGTAGAAAATTACGTTAAATTAGGTCGATCATTATAAGTTTATAAATTTATTTTACAAATCTTCTATGACCCAAATTGTTGTGTGCCTTTGGTTGATTAACTTACGTGTCTATTTTTTATTTAAAACGAAGTGCTTTCGTGCGATCATAGAGAGCTAACGAAGGCTAAGTTTAATTTCTACTTTTTTAATGATATAATTATATCATTACAAAAACTGCAGACAATATATCAATCGTAACTACATTTAACAATTGAATATGTTTGTTAACACTTAAAAATGAAATTGAAATCACTGAATATTTATCTGCACTTTTTTCCCAAAGTGGGTATAAGCGATCTGAAGTACAATTTGACGGAAAAGCGTCCATGCAACGCCTGCCTCAACACCTATCTTGAACTGTATTATTTCTATTGAATCCAGTCCGTTCGGCAGATTCACACTAAGTTCATACTTGTTTCCTCGCTTTCACAATTTTAAGTACTATACACTCATAGAAGTTTGACATGTACTTTATTCGCTCATATCCGCCTTCGTGAATAGTCATAACAATTTGTAATTTGATAAAGTAAGTCACAGAAAATAATCTATTTATTAAAATTTACAGGATAAGAATAAGAGACATAAATGAAGCGTTAAAAGAATTAGGTAGGATGTGTATGACGCATCTGAAGAGTGACAAGCCACAAACGAAGCTCGGTATTTTAAATATGGCTGTAGAAGTCATCATGACTCTAGAACAGCAAGTACGAGGTGAGTTAATAAGATTAAAAATGATGTAATATTTATCTTACATTGCCGTTTGGTGTTATTAATGCTTCAGGCAAATTTCATCTATCTATGTTTTTCAATGTTATCTGTCTAGTAGATGTTCCCTTGAGAATCTTTTGAAATAATAATGAATTAAAAAAAAACTAAGTAATGTCGTATATAAATGGTCCTAAACATTTAAAATAAATTTTGCCTATTGGCCTCAAAAACTTCAACGAATTTTCATGTGACTGTATTTTTAATTGTTTGAATTTTATTTAACTACTCTTAAATTTTCTTTATTATTTCAATCACTTTTCTACACTTTTTTAATTTTAACCAATATAATTAATTAATACTTTTATATTACTCTTGTACATGATACACAAATCGTGTGGTAAACAAATTTTCTTGTCTCGCTTGTAGAACGTAACCTGAATCCAAAAGCGGCGTGCTTAAAGCGACGCGAGGAAGAGAAAGCTGAAGAGGCGCCCAAATTACTAGCGGCGCCGTTACAACATTACCAACCTATGCCGGTAAGTACTTTTGTTACAGTTGTTGTTGTTTTTCAAAGTAGGTGTTGTTTGCACTTTATTATTCTTGACTATATCTGAGCCTACCCACAGGTGGAAAGTAATCAAGCATTGGTTTATCTTTCACAGATCCCAAGACTGCCCATTGATATTAAGCAGCAGTACTTCAAACATGATCTATGTTTAGCTTGATAAAGATTTGCTGGTCACGTGTTAAATTTGGAGAATTGACAAATTTTCTTTATATATACTGGCTGTCCCAAAAATATCACGTCAAAGCGACATAGAAGATCGGTTAGCCATAGATCATGCAGATAAAAAAATACCTTAGGAAAAAGTTTTTAGTTTTCGAGATATCGTGAATTATTTTATTTTCTCACAAATAAGTTAGTGTTTTTACTGTTGTCGTTAGAAATACCTTGAAAGTTTTTGGTTTTTATGTTTTTAGGGTTCCGTACCGCAAAAGGAAAAAACGGAACCCTTATAGGATCACTTTGTTGTCCGTCTGTCAACACCCTTTTTTTCAGGAACGCGTGTAGGTATCAAGCACTCATATCAAATACCCAAGTCTACTGCCGAGCTTGAGCTGTGAAAAAATCAGACTTTTAAGCCAACGCAATCAAAAGATAAGGCCGTTTGTGGCGCAAATTTTCGACATTCGCAAGGGAATCAAAACCTACAGGGTAATTCCCGTGAACTCAGAATCTTAAAATTTGGTACAAAGCAACGTATTATAGCACAGATAAAGGAAAAATTGCGAAAAGCATAAATTTTTAGTTACATCATGTAATAAAAATAATTTTAAACCTACGGATTTATTCGGAACCCTCGGTGCGCGAGTCCGATTCGCATTTGGCTGGTTTTTTTTTTAATTTCTCGAACAGTTTTTCCATTTTTACATGCATTGAAAGTAAATTTGCCCCAAAATCTCGTGTATTTGAAAAAAAAGATTTGTTACTTTTTTACCTTTGAAAAAATTGCACTTCCAAATTGATGACCTACCGTGAAAAAAAATGTACTTACGTAAACTGGCAAATAATTTGGAACAATACTCCACTTATCGCAGATTTAGAAAAGGTATAACACTAATTAAAAAAAAACGTAGAAATTATCATTTTTATCATTAATTTCGCTCTCAGCGGGAAGCTGTACTTTGGTATTGAATAAACGAATTTTTTTTCAATAGTAATGAAAAGGAATGTTGTTTAAGTCTTTGTGTTTAGCATCGCAGCAACCCGTTGTCGGGTCGTAAACTGAGCGATACAGCTGTGAGTAGAGGGAGTACAGTGCTATCTCAGTCTCGCACAGATAGCTTCGGTAGTTGGTTGTGTTTTTAGTACGTTATCTCCAGTTTTTTGTGATACACGTGCGGGTTTGTGCTCCCCTCGTTGTTTTTATTATTTTTGACTACTCGTCGTTTACTAATTGGACTTTGATTTGCTTACTACTTGGACTATTGTTGAACTGATTGATTTTGTTACTAAAAGTACTAATAATGGAAAATCCACGACGAGGTGCTGTTAGTCGTTTTACACATCGTGAGTACGCTGACATGTACTTGATTTGCGGCGAAACCAGACAAGTTTCTACTCGGGGCATAGTATCATTAAACGCAAGGTTGGCTGCAAGATTGTATGAGGAACGGTATCCAGACCGTATACATTTGACATATGAGGTGATTGAACGATTGGATTCTGCCTACAGGGAAGGTAGTGTACGTGGATACAATACCTGGAATTCTAGGTTCTCAATCTGGGAGACCGCGAGCAATTGAGGACGACGTCGTGCTACAGGAACGCGAAGAGGGTCCCTCGACTTTGGTTCGTATGATACAAAGCCGCACTGGAATACCGAAACCATCGGTTCATCGTATTTTAAAAAAAAGTATCAGTTTCACCCATACCACATTCAAAGAGTGCAAACTCTCCTTCAGGTTGATTATGTAAAACGAGTGCTGTTTTGCCGACGAATGCTGGAACTAAATAGGCAAGATCCCGACTTTTTTCATAAAGTTTTGTGGACTGATGAGTGCTCAGTGCAGAAGGCACGGATACCTTAACCTGCACAATATTCATAGTTGGCAGTTAGAAAACCCGCATGAAACCAGCGAAGACCGTTCACAATACATGTTTAAAATCAATTTATGGACAGGAATCTTCAATGGTTCAATATTAGGACTAGTAGCTCTACCTCCGACATTAAATGGTGAAAACTATTTGGCATTTCTTCAACACCAATTGCCAACGCTCCTAGAGGATGTGCCACTACATACACGGCAACGATGTGGTACCAAAACGACGGTTGCCCAGCACATTACGCTCGAGACGTTCCAGCCTATCTTGACAATGGGTTCACAAGAAGGTGGATTGGGCAATTGGGGCCAATCTTATTGCCCCCGAGATCTCCTGACTTAAATCCTTTGGATATTTTTTATTGGCGTTGTCTTAAGGATAAAGTGTACCTAAAACCAATTCACATCGAAAGGGAACTCCGTAACGAATAAACATGATTAAACAAGATTAAAAAATAATTTTATCAAAAGATGTAGATTATGTATTCGAACTAGAGGCAAACAATTCGAGCATCTGCTTTAATAAATACGTTGATTCAAAAAATTCCATTTTTTTTTTGTCAATATCCCATATCTAAGTCAATAATTTCGGCTTTAGCGCTACCCTTAATGATAAAAATGGTAATTTCTACATTTTTTAAAATAATTAATGTAAGTGTTATACCTTTTCTGAATCTGCAGTAAATGGAGCATTTTTACAAATTATTTGCCAGTTAACGTCAGTACATTTTTTTTCACGGTAGGTCATCAAAGTTGGAAGTGCAATTTATTCAAAGGTAGAAAAGTAACACCAATCATTTTTTTTTTCAAAAAATATACAAGATTTTGGGGCAAATTTACTTTCAACGCATGGAACAACTGTTCGAGAAATAAAAAAAAATATAAAAACCAAAAACTTTCAAGGTATTTCTAACGACAACAGTAGAAACACTAACTTAAAGTTGAGATTTTTGAAAAAATAAAATAATTGACGATATCTCGAAAACTAAAAACTTTTTACTAAGGTAATTTTTTTATCTGCAAGATCTAAGGCTAACCTATCTTCCATGTCGCTCTGACGTGATATTTTTGGGACACCCAGTACGAGGGCGGCACTGAATATTTCGGGAATCAATGAAGTGACACAACATTACTATTTAAAAATGTATTTATTGCTTTTCGAAGTATACTCCGTGAAATTTGACACATTTTTCCATACGATGGAACCAATCATTGAAGCAACCATTCCATTCGGAAGTTGGGGTCTCCAAAATGGCCGTTTTGTAGGCGTCCACAGCTTCTTCAGGTGATGAAAATCTCTGTCCACGAAATTTATTCTTTATTTTAGGGAAAGTATAGAAATCATTAGGGCTTAGGTCGGGGCTGTACGGCGGATGGTCTAATAATTCTATGTTTTCTTGCTCTAAAAACTCTTTTGTTCTGTGTGCGGTGTGAGAACTCGCATTGTCGTGATGGAGGATGATGCGGCGGTTGCAGTTCTCTTTACGGAGTTCAGAAACGACCTGTGGCAAACAAATGCTAGCATACCATTCTGCATTAACCGTTCTTTGTCCCTCAAGAGGAATAGTCGTAACATGGCCGGTTTTGGAGACAAACGTGGCCACCATTTTTTTTGCAACACTGCGTGAACGAACAATTTTTGTTAGCTTTAACTCATTTTCGAACACCCAAACTCGTGACTAGTTTTTTGTTTTGGGTTCGTACGCGTATATCCAGGATTCGTCACCTGATACGATGTTGTATACAGCATTTGAGGATCCTGCGTGGAATCTTTCGAGAGTTCTGACGCATCAAGTAACGCGAGCCGCTTTTTGCTCTTCACAGAGCGAATGCGGTATCCATCGGGAAAACAACTTTTTTACACCTAATTGTTCATGCAAGATTATTTGTTTTTGACTCATGCCAATGTCTAAAGTTGCCTGAATTTCGCGGTATGTCACATGTCGATCTTCCTCAATCAGCTTGCGCACAGCATTAACGTTTTCTTGGGTGACTGCAGTTTTTGGACGACCTTGACGGAGATCATCACTGAGCTTGACACGTCCACGTTGAAATTCAGCAAACCAGCGATAAATTGTGGTTTTGGATGGGGCTTCATCACCAAATGCAGAAATAATCCGGTCAACACACTGTTTTTGTGTTAAACCACTTCGAAAGTCATCGCTCTGGAATTTTCTCGAGTCAATTCCATTTTCTCAACGACTAAACAAGTTTGATAAAATCTTGTGGCAAGACCGAGAATCTTTTTTTAAATAAATAAATGGTATTCGATTTTTAAAACCAAGGGGTTTTCAATTAAAAACATTTTAATATGACAGGAACAGTGGAAATATTCTATTCCCGATACTTTTAGTGCAGCCCTCGTATAGTCACTTTTGTTACTTTTTAACACATTTTTATTAGATTGACCTGTATGTATGAATGTAATGGAGTTTTAAATTCATTTTACGCCAACTTCTATACGTTTCAATTTGTAATCTAAAATGTTGTAGACGTAATACTAGGATCATAGTAGCTCATGATCAGCTCATGTTGTTTTAAATTAAAAGTTTATTACAATGTAGGTATGATTTCATCATCATCATTACAGCTCTTCACAAGTCAACTGCTGAACATAGGCTTCCTCCAAGGAATGCCTCAAAGCACGGTCCTGAGCCACCTGCATCCATCGACTTCCTGCATGTCTTACCAGGTCGGCACTCCATCTAGTGGGGGTCACCCTACACTTCGTCTACCGGTACGAGGCTGCCACTCGGGAACCTTACTTCCCCATCGGTTGTTGGTTCTTCGAGCTATATGGTCGGTCCATTGCCACTTCAGCTTACTAATCCGTTGGGCTATGTCGGTTACTCTGGTTCTACTGCGGATGTCGTCATTTCTAAGTTTATCACGCAGAGAAACCCCAAACATAGCCCGTTTCGTAGCTCGCTGAACGACCTTAAGCTTCCTCATAAAGCCAGCAGTTAAGGACCACGTCTAAGGTCCATATTATGTCATCACTGGCAACACGCGCTGGTTGTATAATCTTGTTTTCAAGTTTTGAGATACATCTGATTTATTTCAAGCTTAATTGGTAATGATATACATAGTTGTTTTAATTTCAGGGCTTGGGACAACTGGGCGGTCAGCCGCCAACGGGAGGACCGCCGCAGCAATAGCGACGCCTCGCTCGCCTCTGCGCACTGCCCCCCACTCACTGACCGCCTTGCACATAAACCCTTCTCCTCCCCCATTTATGGGACGAGGTGAGCCAACCTCGCGCCAATAGCTTCGCATCAGAAAACTAGGAAAACAAACGCCTTCCGCGAGTCGAATGTTGCCAGTCACGGCACGAGTCTGATTTGCATTACAATTCATAATTGAAACTTTAAAATCAAAGTTTTGATATTTTACATTTGTATTTGAAACTTTTGGCATCACCATCCGAAGTACTTTAGTATGTGTAATTAGTTTTTAATTGATATTTTCAGATGTTGTACTTAATGTAAATATTTATCCACTATTTTCTCTTTTTAAATTAATATCTTTTATTTTTGTATCATTTATTTCATACTTACTGTTACAAGTTACTCGTACTAAAGCTACTTTATTATTAAATTAAATTAACACGCGAAAAATTCTATTTCATTATTATGTTCTAAATCCGACACGTGTTTGACAAAATGGCTGGCGGTTGTCATTGTAAGTGGATGCTCTTTTTGAAGTTAACTTCGATACTCTTTTCAATAAGTGTCTCAGTTGTCCTCAGGTGCGTCTGTAATTGTGATGTTACTGAAATTTTACGCGCGTCTGTAGTCTGTATTAATTGGACAATTTCGACATATAAAACACAACAGCGTCTCTAAGACTTTATTTTTATTTTTTCCAATTGATCAAGCAATCGTCCCAAAGAGTGTTGAAAAGCAGTGCGTAGTGACATCCTGGACTATATTAGCTGTAAGTGTGTATATTATTAGCTATAGGCTATAGTTTTATATATCTCGACGACATGACGGATTCGTGACGTAGAACGAGAAATGTCGCCCCGTTAAGGGGCGAAAGAGAATCCAAAATTTGTAAATTACTAGCCTAGATCTACACTTTATGTATAGGTATTATAGATTAATTGATAAATCTATCAGAAAAGATATTTTTAATTACTATTTTAAAGTTTCGTTTCGCTGCCATAAGCATAGTACGTAAGCATCGTCTGAGGTCCATTTTCGGGTAATCTGTAATTTTTTCAACGGTAACACCGCTCGTTGTCCTGTCAAACACTGATTTCATTATATATAACTTTTGTTTTCGTCACTACTACTTGCAATGCTTGACAATAATACCTCGTTAATGGACGTCTGATGTTAATAAATGAAGTTTATATTAGAATTTTTGGAAAAGTGGACGCGTTGTGTCGAGTGTTACCAGCTGCGAATTCGTCTTCGCGATTTCCGTATTCAAACCACTGACTGAAAAGCGTGATATTTTTTTGTATTGATTAATATGGGAGGCATTTTTTTAAGTTGGTAAGATCGAAATAACTGTCACTATTATGTAGCTTTAGGCGAATTAGTGTCAGACAGAGATAGCATAATAAAACAATTATTGTTTTTCTGCATAGACGGACGGAAATCAAAGTTAAAGAAAGCTTTCCAGTGGAACTTTAAAATTGAAACAGACGGTGGATTGAAAACTGAAATTGCGAGTGCGACTTTGTCAGTACAATTGTAGCGAGCGCGGGCACTTGGTACGAATCGATTGGGATTTTTTGCTTTTTATAAATGTGTGGGCTCGAGCGTGCCACTGATAGTGGTCTGCCATATTATTTATAAATTACATGCATTTATAGAAAACATTGATTCAAATCTGAGTAAATATGGCTGCTAACTTAAGAATGTACTTAAGGGATATTATTTTTATGTTCTCTTTGTACCAAAACTCCAGTGAAACTCTATTGGTTTGACAATTAGCATAAATGCCTTGTCTACGCATGGTCGTAGTATTATTTTTATATACAATTTTTATTTTTTATTTGTGGTAGCTATTTGTTATAGAGAATTTGTTTTTTTTTTTCAATGAAGTACTTATATACAATTACTGTGATTGCGAACCACATAATTTACTATATGAAAACTTTCAATGTATGGAAGAGTAAACTTCCATTCTGTGAAATGAGCAAGATTCTTAGCGACGTAATTTTGAATGTATTATTTATTTTTTATATAGTAAATTTTGTTGTGACAATATTAAATCGACAAAATCAAGTTTTTATGCAAATGTTATTTTATTTCCCCTTAAAATGTTACGACTGCTGAAATTATTTTCTTTAACACATATTAACTGTCTATTTCTATATTTTTGGTGCATCTAAGAGATTATTATGACAAAAAATATACCAGGAAATTAAAAAAAATATTATTTCAATATTTCTGATGTCATGTCGAAATTGTATGATAAAGAAGTAACGTTGCCATACGTAAAGATTTCCCTAAATATGAGGTAATTTAACGAATAAAATTACAAGTGTTCGGGTGCATTTGGCGTGAATTATCTCTTATTATAATGTGGAAAGTTACGTGAAGCGACGGAATTTCTTTGTTTTGTTTTAACATATTGCAAATGTCAAAAGACCACTTTGTTTTTGTTCTTCAGACTTTAAAATTTGCACTTTCAGTGAGTTTCTCGAATTTATATATGTAGTGAATAAATAATTTTGAATTTTTATGGTAATGTGCACTCAAATAATGATCGTTTCTTGTACATATTTGTCGATATTTTATTAAAGCTCAATACATTGGTTATTTAGTACAAGTCAATAATGATTTTTTTATTTTATTAAATTATTAATTTCTCTGCTTTAAAACATGACAGTGCTTTAGTGAGTTGACGGTGGGGATGAGATTTTTTTTTATAAATCTATAAGAAACAATTACAATGTGTACTAGATAAGTAATCGGTTAGATTATGAGTAAAGTACAATATTGGTAGTTGTTTCGACATAATCTAGTTTGGTTCATAGCGAACTCTGTATTATATAGCGTAAGGTTGATTATTGACTGCGATGATTTTGTTATGCTTCGCGATACGTTTACGGTACAATTGAAGCACTTTCGCGACAGAACTGCCGAGAGTGGGAATTAAAAATTAAAATTCAGGATTTGACACCAAAATGGGCAGTCGAGTCGGGCTCGGATGGCCCAGTCTATAAGTGTTACGTTATATACTTTAAATTTTCTTATTGAAAAAAAAGTTCAAAATATTTTTTTTAGTATTCTATCGTAGTTTTTAGGTCACTTAATCATTACTTGCGACTCTTTAGTTTAGCTTAGTTGACTTTCTCTTCCATCTAGATTAATTTAAGTTTTTTTTTTAATTATTATAATGATTTGTTGTCTGTGCATACGACGTAAACGTACTATAAGATGACAGTTAATTGGTACATAAAATCCATAATTTATTCGCAATATTGAAGCTCAGATTTTTAAGGCACCTAAGGTATTTTTTCTGTTCTGTTACATAAATCCTGGAGATTGTGTACAAAATGAGGCTTTTTTTGCAAGTTTTTTTTGTTATTTTTTTTTTTCTATTAAGGCTACACCAGTGGCCTAGCACTGTATCATAGAGCATTTGATATGTTTCTCCTTTGTTCAAATGCATAGTTTAAAATGATATAATTACAAGAAAGCTCTAATTATAAAAATGAATAATATTAATTAAATATAAATGTGCCATTCATTTTGCTATTTATGTGTTTTATTTTCCTACTAATTTAGCGTTGGATAACAATTTTGATTGTTCGTGAATTATATCTTCTTTTTATAGGGTAAGGGTGGCAAACGAGCATGCAGCCCACCTGATGATAAGTGGATGCTGTGACCCATAGACTTCTACATCTATCCTCGATTAAGAATCAAAATGCAGATACGTCACTCCTGAGAACTAAGATGGAAAGCCTAGTTTCCAGTAAAAAGGGTCTTCAGTTCTCTAAGCTATATTCTTGTTTATTAACTCGTAATGTCCACTGTTGTACATGGGTCTTGTCATTAACACCACAATTGGCAGACGTCTTGCACCCTTGAAGCTGCAATCTGTCGCTGCTTTATATATTGGTTTGGACGTGTGATCTAGACGATATAGAAACGACTGTCTCTTTGGTTTAGTGGTTATAGTAGTGCGACTGCTGATCATGAGGTCCCGGGTTCGAACCCGGGTCGGCCCAAAAAACCAGTTATTGAGTTTTTCAGTCAAGAAATTCTCAGTAGAGCTGCCCGGAATCAGGAAGTTGGCAGTGTCCCACCCCCGTGCCTCGGAAAGCACGTTAAGCCGTTGGTCCTGCGCCTGATCTCTCTCCGGTCGTGTCAGCTTACCGTCCCATCGGACTATGAGAGTGAGGGAATAGAGTGCATCTGTGCTTGCGCATACACTTGGGCACTATAATCCTGTCTGGAATTCGGTCTGCAGGACATTATTATTACAGTTAAATTTCCATGGAAGCCATAATATTTTTCCAGCGGTTTTCACAGGCGCGCTTACATCCACGAAACGAAATGGGATACTAGGATTCTTACGGCACCACCGCGGCTATACGTAGACAATTGGTTGACGCCTGAGCGCTACTATCTTTTTGAATGGAGGTGAAAAACGTGCACACTGTCCACCTGGTGGTAAATGGATGCAGCCTATGAAGAATCAAAATGCAGATGTGTTGTCACACCTGAAAACTGATAGAATTGCTTTGTTGAACAGATTGAATTCTTCATTTCCAGTAAAAAGGGTGTTCAGTTCTCTACACCCACCATACGAAACGCAGCAGCATTACGCGCCTATTTCACGCTGATATTTTGTGAGCGTGTTCCTTTCCTGATCCAGCCGACCCATTCGTGCTATAACCGTAGATGCAGCATGGCTCTACAAGGTAGTGTTAGAGCACCGCTATATAATATTGTTCAGATGAGACAGCGCCATCTATCTCATACCATGTACAACAAAATAGCGACATCTAGATCGCCCGTACTGTAACTAGGAAGTAACCTAACCATTTGTATCGATCACAGAATGTGTTAGTTATAGAACCTAAGCAATTAGTTCCATTGTAATACCGCTGAGGGCGCTGTATGAGACTATAAATATGAAGAGCCTTGTCAAGGCTCGCCCATTTTGATCGATTGCACAACATAAAACA